AACACAACAACCTGCTGAGAGTGAAGTACATACCGTCGAGTCGGAGGCTTCTGCTGCGACTACCAAAACACAACATGATCTCGAAGCAAACATAACTAGAAGAACGGCAGAAGGTCGCCAAGTCTCTCAAGAACTGCGGGACCTTACGATAGATGATAATAATGTCGACTGGTATCACGATAGCCGCCGTAAGAGATGAACTCCTTGCACTACGCACACTGTCAATTCAGCAACTGCAGCAATGGAACCAAAAACATACAAAGGTATATATGAGATGCCAAACGCAGCCGATTGGGAGGAATCAGCACGTTCGGAGATGGAGAGCTTGGTGGTACAGCGCATGGCATTCACTCTGGCTGACAACAAACAACGAGAGAAATCGATATTTTCCCCTCGATGGGTCTTCAAGGTAAAAACGGATGAATCAGGACAAGTCACATGACTCAAATCACGTCGGAAGGTAGCAGCATTCAATGCAAAACAGAGAGTCGAATACGATAAAGCTATGCCCCAGCAGTAGCCAAGGAAACACTCAGGATCTGTCTAACTCTAATGGCACACTATGACATGGACATTCGACAATACGATACACCCTCGGCCTACCTCACTCAAGAATTGTATACCCCTAGCTACATGCGAGTGCCGCAAGGATACGATCTCATCGAACATCTATTGGACCCGTCTCAGAGAAAACTATACGAAAGGCACAAGCAAGGAGACACAAAGGTTGTATGTCGAGTTGACCGTTGCGTATACGGTCTACCACCTAGCGGACACTACTGGTTTAAAGCTATCCATCGGTTTGCTATACAACACAGTTATAAACAAGCACAATCGGATGGAGCACTGTTCATCAAACAAACACACAGTGGACCTTGTTTCATTATTGTACACGTAGATGACAAAATTGCAGCATGCCAGAGTAAGACCGACGGACAGAAATTAGCTGACGCAATGAAATGCGAATGGGACACTGTTGATATGGGCTTACCGTTATGGTTTCTCAAGTGTCAAGTTAAAATACATCCTGGAAGAGTACGTCTCCATCAACGACAATACCTAAGAGAAATATTGCAGGAATGGGGGTTGATAGATTGTAAACCAGCATGGATGCCAATTCTAGAATCGGACTATGAAGTAACAGACAAACATGCATGTCTCCCGGAAAAGGCAGCAAGTTCAGACGTCCCAACAATCACACAATACAACAAGCTAGTGGGTCAGCTACGATACTTTGTAGATCAAACACGAGTGGATATATGCTTTGCAGTTTCGACCCTAAGTCGCTATCTGATAGCACCTCAGTACCACCATTTCAGAAGTGCCAAGCGCTGTTTGAAGTATCTCGCTGGTACTCAGGACTTCGGACTTGAATACACGAACAAATAACCATGTATTCCCTATCAGAGTGCAGACAGTAGCTTTGCTAGCGATGACACAACAAGACGATCCACCACCGGGCGAGTGGGCAATATAGCAGGTGCACCATTTATGTGGGGTACAAACTTGCAACGACTAGTACTAACGTCTACAGCAGAGGCAGAATACGTAGCACAATCTGATACAGCCGAAGACGCAGTATGGGCTAGAAATCTCTTCACAGAATTCAGCATTTCGCTCGTAGAAACCACCACCATAGAACAGGACAACAAGTCAGCAATACTGATGGGAAATGGTATCACGAAATCCCACCGTACAAAACATATCGATTGACGATATCATCACATCAGGGAACTCACATCGAACAACACCATCAAGCTAAAATACAAACCATCAGAACAGCTACTCAGTGATTTTTTCACGAAGCCACTCAGCCGAGAGAAGTTTACCGACATACGCGACAGACTAATGACTCGGATGCCAGTATCAACATAGTTCAATTTATAATAAAGGTAACTATTTTAAGGTAAGCAGGTGTCAAATGCTTTGTGCTTCTACCTCTGACTGCAAAATATACAGATATATCGTACCTTGTAAAAAGAGTGTGTACAAACTGTTTATATGATATGTAAAAATGAAATTATAAATAATTTAAACGCAATATATAACTATATATTTGTTCCTATCGATAGACACCCAAGTATTTACTTGTGCGACTGTGTTTTGACATAAAATACTCTGAAGTTCAAGTTGAATCCGGCAGACAGTTTGTATTCATCGATACACATAATATTAGTAGCTTACTGGTTTCGTAAAAGTTGCATACCTGTGACAATTTGTATAGAAATTCACTCGCAAGATACAAACAAAATTGTGAATTTCGCAGCCCACAGGCCCTACAGGGACCACAACCGCACACTGTCTCCACCATTAGCCCGGCATAGTCTATTAGCGAAACATGATCGGATTGAGCGACCGAATACACAGCCTTGAATGTGCTTCGCGGCATCGAAATATATTTTTATCACATGGTTATGATAGTCATAAAAATTGCCTGCATTTGACGCCGAGTTGGACTTTAGAGACTTTTTTTAATAAAATAAACAGCCTCTGGTTCGGATCTCGTGTATCAATTGAATATGATTGTATTGAGACGAAAACGTGATTTTTTTTCGGGGGGTATATAGGTGTGTCTGCAGCTACAGGTTGTTCGATCACAAGCTATTGTATAGGCGTTCCCGTATGCTACTGCAATCTTGAAATAAATAAGACTGTCTCTATAGGTGGCCAATATTAATTTTACAGAACGCCATGGATTAAGAAGATTTTTGATATCGCATATCAATTAGACAGTATGCAGTTCAGATTCCACAAAGTGAAGAAATTTATCTACCCCTATACGGTGGTTCACCTACGGCAATACTTTTAATGATTTCGGGTCCGATATGTATTGATACCTGAGGTACTCGTAACTTAGAGACGACTCTGTCTTAATAAGTATATACATCACCATAGCTTCAGCTGGCATAGATTGACCAGATGGCAGCAAGACAGAGTGACTGTCTGTGTGTGTCAAAATTAATATTAGGCATCTTACAGCCAGGTAGTGCCCAAAAGTGGCCATAATGTTCCAGTTGGTTCGAAATCATGATTGGTAGAGCAGCACATAAATGCATAAACAAAATGAGCAAAGTTCAGTTTTAACTACCGAGAATGAGGATGATAGCTAGATTTTGATTAATGATACGTTTATTCGTTTTTCTTCGCATTATGAGGATGCTTCCATGTGATTTTTTGGAAAAGGTAGTTGAACGCAAGTATGACTCTAGCACCTCGAATTCCACAACCTCTACCGTTATACGGACCGAGTACAATATGTTCACATTGTCGAGATCCGTTAATACCATACGAAACTATTCTTAGTATACCGCCTCAGAAGTCCTACTACATTTATTGTTTCGTCGAGAATTGTAATGCCTGGAGACACCGAGTTTGCGTAATGTTTATTTTCTAATTTGTAAAAGGTTACCGAGCTCGGGTGATAAAAAAAGTTTTTTGCAATCTGACCCGATAAAATTTCACATCTTACTTGAAGGGGGCTGATAAACTGCACCTTTTCACCGAGAAGCCATTTTCTTCATCTCTGTAATTTCAATTCAACACCGATCCTGTATGAACAGACGTTGCAACGCTTATTTTACTTTTTAACCAGCGGCTGATACTTGACGTCCGAATATAATATTGCATTAATCCAACAAACTACCGAGCACAATATCATGGTTGTAGTCATCTCGAAAGTCATCTATAGTTAAATGGCATGCGGCTGCAACTCTGGTGTCCAAGAGCATGAGGATGTTGGTAGTCCATATATGAAGAAGTCGTAACCGGCGCGTATTCCCTAGGCTGGTCAAGAACGTCAGAGGTGGATGAGGCTAGTTGTGTATTTCTACCACATGCATCTGAGAGATCGTTGGATACTGAAGCCGTATTGTCCTCGATGAATGCTATTTGCTTTCTGGTACGGTCTCTAGCGTCCTTGAATTACACCTTTATCACAATAGGCAATTGGCCTGCGACTCGAAGAACAAGAACCACTTCCTATTTTCATTTGTAGTTATATACAGTTTGTTCTTCTGGAGGGTACCAAGCATCCAAGTCATAGTAATTTCACACGAGAAGTAATTTCAGTACTGTCAAGTGGTCAGTGCATGACTGGGGGATGTGCTTAGATTGAAAGCCTAGTGTTGATTATTGTCATATATGGAGCTGACAAGAATTCTTTCGACGTTCAATGGAAGGCGCTCTTGTTTTGACTTTGAGCATGGCAGAATTAACCTCATGTATTGGGCAGTGTGCTACCAATCTGTAAATTTACAATATTAGTACCGCCGACAGTATGTTTAATATCTCTACTAATGTTTGTAAACCTTAAATTTTTGAGTTTGGTCCTGCTTGATCTGTATCGAAATCCTTTGCATGTGCGGCACACTTTGACTTTTCCACCGTGCCCACACAATGCTTCAAATATACCTTTCTGCAATCAGGTCACTAAAAATTTCTATATATATTTGATACTACCTTTATTTTATGTCTCTTAAATAAATCTGACTATTTTACGACTCTTCCATCCATACATATGGCTCTCTGGCAAAGTGTCGTTGGAAAAACAGACACACCAGCGACACCTTCCCGCTGGCCATGAATATGCGCTGTCAGTTCATATATAAATACTTCCATATGCACTTATGTGTACAACTCGTATGGATAAGTACTTGAAAGTTAAACACGAACGGATGTATTTACATCTCGCCCTAAGCGGCAAGCATACTGGGTGTGCTTGATATGTGGCGGCGGAAAGAACTAGAACCTCCACACATGACAACTGATAGAATCGTTTCGACTTAGATAGTACCGAACTTCTGTGGTAACAATTTGCGGTGCCACTCTGTTCTTGAACCGTGCAGCCATTTGCAGTAGTCGAGACCGGTTAAGCTTTGTATTGGAATTCCAGTATCTTTTGTTCGCAGTACAGCAGTAATACGCATGAAAAAGGTTGGTATAACTTAGGGTTTTAGGGATAGGGGTTGAAGACCCTATAACCCTACTTAATGCTGGGATTGTGAATGTATGCTTACCCGGCAAAAGCGGTCAGAACATGATTGCCGAGCTGGGTAGAAACTCATAATCGCTTTTTATTTGTAGCATTCATTTTGAGCAGCTTTCAATTCCTGTGTGTATTTTGCCCATGGATCAGGCCACAGTACTGCCATTCGCATTAGCCAAAGCGGAAATAATGCGCTCATAGGCACGCACACCGTCAAGATATGTGGACTCAGTTAGATATTCGTCGTGGTCGTGTAGCAGTACTGGCGTATTGCTGATGGGGGAGAAGCCTACTGTGGGTATACCTGTACGTGTGCATCAGACATTGTTCGTCTGTTAATACCTACTTGAAAGGTTTGCGAGCGATTGATACGCACGCACGCATGCTAAAGTTTTATTATTATACAGAAATACACTTAGGCAAGTGCACGATAAGTGGTGACCCATGTCAGTATTCACAAAAAAAGAAATATACTCGGGCAAGTACACGATACGTGACCTATATCCGTATTTCATACCCATTGCCCGTAAGAAGCGCGAGTCCGTGCCGCCGGGAAAAATGTCAGGCTCTTTGAGTAGCACACCCGCCTCGGCACAGGCACTGGTGAACACTCCCCACCAAGGGTTGGTATCGTCTATAGCGGTAAGCTGTGTATTTAGCAGAATACACAAACGCGACATAAACAGATAGTCAGGTTCGTATATAGTGGTATATCGATTGACGTTAAGAAGGGAAGACTGTCCTAGAATGTAAGCCGTAATTTGGCCTCGGTATACCTGCTTGTAGGCGAGTACAACACATAAAAAAGAATCTGTATATTTGTATATTACATAGATACATATAGATAAATAGATACATACATGCATACATATATAAATACATGCATACATACATACATACATACAGAGGCTTACCCATTGTGAGGTATCCAATTTTCAAAAGTGCACAGGCTAGTATACACCAGCCAGGACTGGTAACTACACAGTATCTGTATCGTCTCCATATACTAGCAGAAACTCAAGCCAATTACTATCAAGCGGAACAAGTTGGGTGTTGTGCGTTGTGAAGCTCCCCAATAGAAACCAACTGCAGCCACAATGAACCATACACACTTGTTGCAATCGATCTACTATATAAGCATGCAGCAGACGTACCTTGTTTACAGGAGTGTTCACAATATAGGTCGCCGTGACACCTTCCTCCAGATACGAATCGATCAGATTGTGTACGTCGTTTGCCGTTACATTCGGCGGCGCTCGGATATCAACCGCAGCTGTATTGACGTTTAAAACAAGTGTTAAAAAGTGACACAATGAGTCAATTTAAACCGCAGCTGTATTGACGTTTAAAACAAGTGTTAAAAAGTGACACAATGAGTCAATTTAAACCGCAGCTGTATTGACGTTAAAAACAAGTGTAAAATAATGTGTCGCAAAGAGTCAAGTGTAAAAAATGTATCACAATGAGTCAATTATAACCGCAGCTGTATTGACGTTAAAACAAGAGTCAAAAATGTGTCTCAAGGAGTCAATGACAGAATACCACCACAGCCTTTAGTACCGGAAAGTGTCGAATGATGGGCACTAATGAATTGGTGGTACTGATGACCTCGCAAGTGATCAATCGCTGCACACGAGTCTTGGAATATATATTGAGATACGTACAGTGGGGTCACTCAGCCACATGTATTTGCAACTATAAACACTCGGCTCTGCATACATACCCAACCCTACAGCGATGCATGCATACATTGACCTATTACTACACCACTACATACGTATTACTAAACACATACAGGCCTATTACTACACCACGACATACCCATTACTAAACACATACATACCTATTGCTAAACCACTACATACCGGTCATTACAGAAGGCACGACGTTGTGTTGCACGCCTCCGTTGATCTTAGTGATATTCACAGACATCACACGGCCGTTTGTGAGGTTGTTTGCCTTCCTCTCCGCGTCGTTCTTGTTGCGCAGGTTAACAAACTTCTGCAGCACACTGAGCAGGCGCATCGACGCCGTGTCTTAGTATAGTAGTGGACAAATAAACAGGAGTGGTCAGTCAGTGTTATACCTGCCCAAAACTAGAATCATTCACATATTTTCTACGAAGAAAACCGTTGTAACAACTTACATACCCGTTAAAACTCAATTTATCTCACTTTCAATAATGAGACATCATTGCAACACATACGTTCGTGCCAAAACTAAGTTTATCTCACTTTCTATAATTAGAAATCATTTAACTCATATATTCCTTCGAAAACCAGGTTCATCTCACTCACTTTCTATGAAGAGTGAGCCATGTCCGGGGGTGCCTGCGGCTGTCAGATTAAACCAGAAGGGCGCGCGCTCGCCCACATACACCTCGCACCGCTCACTAGCGCTGGCCAAACCCTACACATTTCAGAGGATAGAATAAGGTTGGTAAACAGGTTACAAGTATATTTGCGACAATACCCGCTATTGGTATTCGACGTAAGTGCCTCAATATATCTAGACGTATAGATCTAGACGTATATATCTAGATGTGTATATCTAGACGTATATTTCTAGACGTACATATCTAGATGTATATATTTAGACGTATACATTTAGACGTGTATATCTAAACGTATATATCTAGACGTGTATATCTAAACGTATATATCTAGACTTGTATATCTAGACTTGTATATCTAGACTTGTATATCTGGACGTGTATATCTAGGCGTATATATATATAATAGGCGGTGCTCATATACTAGGAAGGATAGGAATATACGAGGAGGCGAACGGAGCGCCATAGTATCCGGCAACGTTCTACCATACGAAGGCACATGCGCATAGACAGGCAGACGCCCACTACTGCTGGGTACACACTTGTAACGTGTACGAGTTCGGATCAATATATCCGCATAGTTAAATCATTCATGCATATACACCATTTACGGAAGCGTCCACAAATACCGGATCTGATATTAGACCTAGCTCAAAGTTTTGCGGGCCAATCAACACACCCAGACTCACACATTATCATATCTATATATCTCCATACCTACATAGTTACAGAAGTCTATATCTCCATATATACAAATCTACCTGTCACTATATCTACATTCTGCACAACTCCATAGCTCTAAATCTACATATTCACAAATCTTCCTATCTAAAAATGTAATTATCACCATATCTACATAACTTCCTATCTCCATATCTCTCTCTATATCTACATATTCACATTTCTTCCTATCTACAAATCTACCCATGTCCACATCCCCATATCTACATTCTACACAACTTTATATCTACAAATCTACCTATATACCTATCACCAAAACTACATTCTACATAACTATATCTACCTATTACATTCTACACAATTATATCTACCTATTACATTCTACATAACTATATCTACCTATTACATTCTACACAACCATATCTACCTATTACATTCTACATAGCTATATCTACCTATCACATTCTACACAACTATATCTCCATATCACCATAACTACATTCTACATAACTGTATTTCCCATATCACCATAACTACATCCTACATAACTATAACTACCTATCTCCATATCCCATAACCCTATACTGCCCCAAACATTACCTCATCCAATGCAAAGCCCACATTCAGATTCCTGAAGTGCTGTGTAGCGCAGAACTTCTGCATTCCATCTGCGCCGCCAATCTCCTCATCAGGTACAAATGAAATGTGCAGCGTTCGGGTGAAGAGTGGTTGTGTGGACGCTGTGATAGACCGAGGGGTATAAGATACAATAGTCAGAGGTACACTCAGTTTGGCTTGATCGGTAGGGCGATGTAGGCTGTAGGCCGCACTCGCATCTTCAGACAATAACTTTTAGGGTGAGCGGGGGAGTAGGTATAGCACCACAGAACGCAGACGAGACCCTATCCAGTTATTCCCAATTCCTTACATCTGGCAGCTGCCCGACTCCCTGTTGCTCACTCTATACTTATTTAATACTTAAACACTTACTGTGGTTAGCCAGAAGGTTCTTGATGGCGTACAAGTACTGTACGCCCACACACTTCATGTCCTGGGCACCCCGTGCGTATATGCGACCGGCCGCGTCTTTGTGGGCGTCAAACGGTGGGTGTGTCCACTTGTCGTTCTCCACAGGCACCACATCGGTGTGTGAGTTCAACAGCACACTCTTGGCCAGGGGATTCCTTCCTTTGAGTGTGAGCACAATAATGGGCTTGCCCTCTACCAGTGTGTGTTGTTGATACTGCATGAGAGGCGAGGTATGTGACGGCTTAGTTCACTATTGTCTGTTCAGGTGCATACACGGGTATGGACGTTAGAAGGGTCAATATAGTATGGGGTTGTATGTATGTCGGTGTGTATGTGTGTATGTCGGTGTGTATGTGTGTATGTATGGGGTTGTATGTATGTATGTATGTATGCATGCATGCATGTATGTATATATGTAGATATGTATGCTTATATGCATATATATTAAAAAAATTTATATATATGTATATACATAGACATAGACACAGACACAGACACAAATACAGATATACATATATATATATATATTAATGAGACACTTTTGGCATTGGGGTTCCATCCTTTGAATGTGAGCACTACAATAGGCATACCTTCCACTAGCACGTGTTCTTCATACTCACGTGATGAGGCGGGTGTAATGTGTTTGGTCATAGATATGACACTTACGTAACACTATTCGACAATAAAGTTTATACAGCTGATAGAATAGAACTATATAGTACTATATAGAAATTATAAACATATATATATATATATATATATATATAAACATACATATATATATATATATAGTATTTACTATATTATATACATACTATATATATATATATAAATGAATATAAATCAGTAACATATATATATATATATATATAATTATATACATACATACATACATACATACATACATACATACATACTCACACACATATGTATATATATATACACACACACACACACATATGTATATATACACACACACACACACATATGTATATATATATATTTACATATCAGATATCAGATATCTACCACACAGGATTTTCAATCAAATCATGTGTATGTCTTGATGCTTTCATACTTGTTTCATACTATATATACACATATATGAACGCAAGAACACACCTCCAGGCCAATATGGAGGGCTTGGGCTTTCAAGAACTCGGCAATAGGTGTGTAGTCGGGGCTTGGTTGCACTGAAGCTATGCGCAGGTACTGGCGAAACGCCGTAACTGACTCGTCCTCTGATAGTAGGCGAAGAGGAACAGAAGGAGAAGCAAACAGTCAATTGAGCAGACATGTATTATTTATACATATACATACATATGTGCATGTACGCATACACACACACACTCACACACATATATACATACATATACACACATACACGCACACACACACACACACACACATACACACACACACATATATATATATATTGAAGTCTGATCCCAATCCTACTGTCTGATTTGGTACCTATATCCATAGAATCCAGATACACTCCTGCACCTAATTAGTCTTCTCATATGAATCTGACTAAATCCTGATTCCCATTTTAGCATTATAAGGCGAATTACCATTGGCATCCACCGGCCAGAATTTTTCCGCTTTGGTTGCTGTAGGCACTCCGTTTGCCTGTACTTGCCCTGTAGATTTCGGACTTTGGGCCTGATTTTGGATCTGTTTAAAATAAGGTTGAATATCCACGGTTAAATTTAATACTATAGCGTGTATACGGTACGTACTTCCCTCCTGGTACACCGGGGGAGTCGTGCCACGATGATACTTAAATCGGAACCATCATGATACGTTATCCGTATATATATATATATATAAGTACAGACAAGCACACAGATACAGACACAGACACGCATATATATATATATATAATATATATATATATATATATACATATATACATATATATATCTATATATAGACACAGACACACAAAACTCAAAACATTCATTCAATGAACCACGCTCAAGTGTATGATTGTGGTGAGGATCTGAATGTGCGTCACAACCTAAAAACACTAAACCCTCGCGTGTCTAGAAATCCCAATCATCGCTGTGCGAAGTCTGCAACACTCGTTGTACAAAATAACAGCGCACACCACTGCACCGATGCACATACGTGAGCGTATAAGGCAAAGCTGAACCACTTGACAACGTGTGCGTGACTAGAAAACGAGCCTACATTGAACTTATCAGGTGAGTGGGAGTACATATAATATATTCAGTTAGTTGCCTGCTGTTGAAGTATAGGCGTGAAATTACGGTCCTTATTTTGTTTTATAACTTCTGTTGCTGTGGTATAGCAATGAGACTCATCCAACCAGACGCCCATATCAAATGTCAACCGACACGCCTATAGCTATACATCTTAGCACCACTTGCCTGCTGTTGGGGTGTGGGTGTAGGAGAGGAGGTCTCTAGCGGCAGATCAAAGAGTTTAATCATTTCGGCTTTGTAGGCTTCGTGGCACCTGCATCAGCGAGTAACACGCGTATGTATGAGCAGGATAAAGCATCTAAAGAATAAATGCAGTTATATGAATGATATCAGATATATGAATGCTATATACATATATATATATATATATATATATTGAGATACACAGGTGTATGAGCAGGATGAAGCCTCTAGAATATACTTGCTATTATATGAATAATATCAGATGTATGAAAGCTATATATATATATACATTGAGATACACAGGTATATGGGCAGTATGAAGCATCTCGAATATACATGCAGTTATATGAATGATATCAGATATATAAATGCTATATATGTACAAAGTGATACACAGGTGTATGAACAGGACAAAGTGCAATATATACTACATATCTTTGCACAATGAGATGCAAGCACTAGAATATACGTGTAGGTAAATGCAACATATACTATATATCTTTGCATACAATGAGATACAAGCATCTAGGATAGCCATGCATACATATACATACATACATATATATATATATATATATATATACATACATACATACATACAACACACACACACACACACACACACACACACATATATATATATATAGCGAGAGAGAGAGATAGAAGGAAAGAAACAGGTGCATATGATCCAGACAAATCTCTCAGGATATGCATACAAATAGACACATATCCAGCATTGACAAACATGTACACCCAAGCGGCTAGAACATAGTGTATGTGATCGAGGTGATACATCTAAGACATACACACACATCCATGTACAAACACTTGAATGCTGTCGTTGCCATGCAGGTAGTAGTGTGTGTTGCGTGCTGTATAAGCTTTGCACACACTCGTACCTTTGGTATTCGGAGGACCCAATTGATCTCAAGTAGTTCAGTATTTCGATTTTCTTCCTGTTCTCCAGATAAGACAACTCGTACGCCCGTCGTCTGGTACGTATGTTCGCGTGTGACATCAGAGCAATTCATTAGCTACAGAGTCAAGCAACACTACCCAATAGGAAACTATTGGCCAGCAGTCACCAATACATGTTTGCGGGTGTCATGAGAACAAATCATTAGCTACAGTCAACCAATACTGCCCATAGGAAACTATTCGCAAACAGCCATTGATACAATTGACACGGGTAGCAATAAAAACGTATTGTTCATGGGTTTATCCATACATAAGTTCTTATTCTCGTATAAGTTTGGTATCACGTTTTGGCCAAATAGACTCGGAAATTCCGCTCAACCGCGCCAAATTTCCAATTCCTAAAAATCTCTATTCCTACCCCGATTTCCTACGATTCTCAATTCTTACGCCAACTAAATAGATAGCATCAGACTGCACCAAAGGGGTCCTAAGACTAAACTTAATTGAATACAGCCACAGCGGGGAGGACAAAAATTAAGGATTGGACTAAGAAGACGATAGACTACAACATCCCGTAATATACAAAAACCCTGAACCCTAAAACTCTAAAACCTCAGGCAGATAGCCATCGACAGCAAATTCAAACTCAAAGGTATGGGTATCCGCCAAAAAGTCACACATATCATTCCTGGAGGAGAACGTCTTCGATTGATCTAAAATCGCACATATCACTTCTGGAGAGCACGTATCCGTTTCACTTGGGGTGTCTATCCCTCAGGAAACTGTGTGGAGTGCAGGGTTGCGCGTCTATAGTGCTGGCTGTCATGAGGATCTGCAAGGTATTGACTAAATATATATATATATATATATACATACACACACACATACACACACACATCTATATATATATATATATATATACATACATATACATATATACATACATACATATGTACATACATACATACATACATACATAAATATACACATACACATACGCACACACACACGCACACACACACACACACTTATATATATATATACATATTCATGTACGTACATATTTATATATTTATAGCAAACGTGCATAGATACCCTTTGCACACACACTCACCCTTTGTGCTGTCGTGGTACATCGTGGCCATATAGTTGCTGGTTAGTGGTATGTTCCGCTTCACTGACAAAGTCGTTGTCGGTCTCGTCACTTTTGCTTTCATCTGATGTGTGTGTGTCTGCATGTTCGTGCTGTGGCGGCGGTGGTATGCGCTTCTCTACTGCCTGAAAACAGGAATCCGTAGTTTAAAGTATTTACGTTAACAAAAACATAGCATAGTCATCGTCTTCGTGTGCCAGAGTGTGGGGGTGGTTCATGGTTCACTACACCCAGATCACAGAAAAGGGCAGACAAACGTAAGGTGGTGAGACAATTGAAAGTACACCTGCGTCTGAGAAAACGTCAGGTGGTGTTAATAAAAAGTAATAGAAAGTACACCCACGTTTAAGAAAACGTACGCTAAAAAGCATTGACCTGAAAAAAAAGGATGAGCGGGTACTACGCCATAGACTTCGCCAATTGATAGGGGTGCCTGTCGTTTTCAACGAAATACGTAAACGTATATATGCAAACGCACTCACGGAAATAAGTAGTTAGACAGAGTACGATGCAAAACGTAAAACAATTAGAAATTGATTCGTAAGCACTCACCTGCGCTGTAGCTGCTGCAGGATAGATGAACATACGTAATAATACGTATATGAACACTGTGACTAAAATATGTTTGAGCCACCATGGTTAATGTCCCATGATGAAAATAAAACAAGCTTAAACGAAAACGTAAACATGATACTAAATGACGCAGTCTGGCCAGTGGAAAGAATTGGTCAGAGCTCACCTGTAGTGCAACTGCTTTGTGCCTGGGCACTGAAGCCTGAAGGCGCAGAATAGAAAACGTATATATACGTAAATGGCCATTATGGTTGCTCATAAGCGAGTTATAAGGGTATGGTCTAAGCTGCGAAATCAGCATGATCGAAAATGAAGCGAAAATGAAGACTGCAGGTTATTACTAGTACTCACCGGCAACGCAATTGCCTCTGGTCTGGGTACAAACTTCTGGTCAGATAGGAAAGAAAACATAGCAATACATAAATGGCCGGTGTCAATATTCATTAGCAAAGTTGTAAGTATGGTCTAAGCTGGTACGACAAATCAGTACAAATAATAACGAAGCGAAACTGAAGACTGCAGGTTGTTATTTGTACTCACCGGCAATGCAACTGCCGCTGGCCTGGGCACAGAAATCTGGCGAGACAGAAAGAAAATGTAACAATACGTAAACGGCCGTTGCCATCAGTCATAAGCAAGGTTGTAAGAGTAAGAGTATGGTCTTAGCTATGAAAACTGATAGCACGACAAATCAGTGCAACGAATAACGAAACAAAACTAAAGCGTAAAGGTTGTTACTAGTACTCACCGGTAGCGCAACGGCTTTGGGCCTGGGCATTGGTGCCTGGTGACACAAATGAGAAAACGTACAGACACGTGTATGAAAACTCGGTAGTTGCTGAGAAAACGTATAGGCACGTGTATGAAGACTTGGTAGTTGCTGAGAAAACGTACAGGCACGTGTATTAAGACTTGATGGTTGCTGTGTGACTGATACAGTTCTAATCTGAGCTATACAGGCGTATGGGACACAGCAAATAAATTTACACGTGGTAGTAGCGGTAAAAATACGGCGTTCGGCATAACCGTTCAAAACTTCCGACACAATAAATGAAACGAGAAACGGTTTGGTATATGCAATACTAATGAGAGAGATAGACTGATAAGTACACACCTGTAGTGCGACTGCTTTGGGTCGAGGAATTGCTGCCTGATGACAGGTAAGGTAAAGTGAAGAAAACGTAACAACGCATTGTGGGATTGTCATACAACTGTGATACACATGCGCATATAGGTGAGTCTGTCTATGCATTCAATGAATTGTATGTGTATAGAACACAGACACAAACACCCCCCCCACCCATATATATATATATATGTATACGTAAATACATAACACTTATCGATCTATTTTCTATACCACCACCACACACACGCAAACACACAAACACGCACACACACACACACACACACACACATATATATATAGATAAATACATAAGCACACTAAACTTACCACCCGTTTCCTAGGCGAAGGTCGCTTGACTGCCTTCTCCACACTCACTGCCTTGCGCTTGCTTGTACGTCTACTCGTGTGCGACGTTGCCTGTGCGTTTCTGTTCTTATTCCGAGCCAAGGCAGAGCCGTCGTTGCTGTCTGTGGTGTCTGGTAAGCGTGCGCGTGTGTTTCGAGCACTCCTGCGTGTTGCTGATGAGGTGGTGGGTCGTTGGGACCCTTTGGCGACGGTGGGTTCGGAGTTGTCGGAGGTAGCTTCCTCGTCCGAAGCATTGTAGGAGGAGCCCTGTGAGAGATATAGGATTTTAGGATTTTAGGATTTTAGGATTTCGGGATTGTAAAATTTTGTGATTTTAAGATTTAGGAATCAGGGTAGGTGAATTGGGGTTGACCGTGTGATTAGAATCACTGTTCTTCTCGAACGCAGACGCCTGCACCGGCTGTGCAAACGCTTGTGTTGTTGTGACCTGGTGCTTGTATGTAAGTTGATATGCACACACAAACACACACACACACACACACACACACACACACGCATACACACACACACACACATATATATATATACATACATATATTCATATATACATATATACATGATGTGGTGCAAGTACACTCATACTGATACTCAATCACAACTGCATAGCAGTCTATCTCGCACATACATCGTCTCCCCCTGACTCGGACTCGTGCACAGGCTGTGCAACCGTTCGCTTAGAACGTCCAGTTGTGCGTGTGGCTGGCTTTGGGGAAACGGGACGTGATGTACCGGATGCTGAACGCGTTTGCCTTGCCTGGTTGGAATATATGTATGTGGGTTTCATAAGTCAGTGTCTGTGTGTATATGTGGGGTTACAAGATAGTGCTAATGTGTGTATGCGGTATTCGGAGGGAAATACATGTCAAGTAAATGTACCTATGTGAGATACATAATTTAGCGAATATGTGTATATGTAGAATTCATACGCTAGTGTAGTAAAGTACTTTCCAACGGTTCTGTGGCGTTAAGCTAATATATATCAAGCGATCGTGCGTGCAAGCATGGGTTCATATAGCAGTGCTGATACATTGCTGTCTACTCAGAGTGACCCATTGGTCTGCTATACAAAGCACGCGTATGCAATATACGTATACGTATATGAAGGTACACATTTGATAGCTTACCCACTGACGCCTTTTCAATACAAATACTTGTACACTCAACTGTAACTTAAGTGGCACACGGTCAGGTGCACTTGCAATAAGCGTATTCGTATCTGTAGCTATACTTTAAATGGTGAACTTACTGCTGTCTACATTCTCCACGATACACATACACGCCTACACATACGCACACGCATACGCATACGCATACGAATACGCATACGCATACGGAAACATTAACGGAAATATTAACGTAAACATAAACGTAAACGTGCGTGTATAACATCAGCTGGAACTCTTACTGCATATTTTGAAGACGATTTCTTCGGCTCTATGGAAGAGGGTGCCAGTGACCTTGTACTCCTTCTCTCTGGTTTTGCACCCTTTTTGGCGGTTGGTGCATGATTTTCAATTTTTAGATGGTGCGGCGTCCAATCTGATTGGCAGTTTGCCGACACTGGAATGTGCAAAGTAAACATGCCAGAACACCCGTGAGTTTACAGATACATGATCTTGGTGACACTACAGCTATATCTATATGTAGGCTCAGAGATAGCAGTATAATATGGAGAACAATCATATGTCCACATGTACGTTACACTCAGAGAAATAGCCCACATGCTCGATCCCTGCTACAGTAAGAAACCTTCTCGTCCCCGATAACGGACTGCAACACGCCCAGCACTCACATGTATACACTACCAACGACAATAACGGAGCACATACGCAGATCCCGATACAACAGATTTAACAGAGTTCCGTATAGCTTCACCTACAGGTCTCCAGCGTATCGTTGAGGATGGCATACTAATCAATAGCTATTCAAGACCCAGACGCACCACACACAGACACCGGAATATGAGTATACACAGTTGTCGGTTACAACGGAAGATATTTAGCTGTACTCATAATCACATACATAATACATACATACACACAAACACCAAACAGTGTTGTCCATACTCGTCATGGCTATAATCAAATGTAGATTCCATGCAAATAACAGTGGAGTATAGTACACATACCCAGATCCCTGTACAACGGAGTCTCATTCAGCATCAGCCATAGATCAATGATAGGACCTTCTTTTATGGTGAGATTCTCATCGATCACCGGAAGCACTTTGGGTTCTGGGCGGTTAGGGTGGTTCTTGCGGTGATCGGCTTTCTTCTGCTCCACTATGTTCATTGCGGACCTAGACAAAATGGTCGTGAGAATAAGCAGGCCTATATATAAATATATATATACAATTTATTGAAATATTAACATATATATATATATATATACATATAAAGAATAAGAAAAAAACCGATAACCAATAACCAATGAACAATACACAATAAACAAGAAGCAATGTATATATATATATATATATTACAACATACATGCATACGTATATGATTATGGACGCGTGAAAGTATATATACACACACACACACACAATATATATATATATATATATATATTTATATATATATGTTGCATATATATATATACTGCATATACATAAGATATACATATATATATATATATATATAGTATATATATATATATATATATATATATATCCCTACTATATGTATATACACATACACACACACACACACACATATATATATATATATATATGTATGTATGTATATACATATTGCATATACATAATATATATATATATATATATACATATATATATAAATGTGAATATATAT